TCTTTGTGTATATCTTAAATTTTAATAATTGCAGTATTTTCACTTTCACTTTGTTTCAAGAGACAAGAGTTACTATCCATGTTCTAAGGTTAGTTTTTCTTTTCAATTTTTATTGATTCTTTTAGTTATATTTATTCTATTGTAATTTGTAAATGCTTTTAATGTTTAGTTTCTATTTTGTTGTGTCTTTGTAGGAAGAATGGAAGAGTAATCTCATCTTGAAGAATGGAAGATTGAATTCTACAAAATACATGTAAGTTTATCACAACATATCTTTCAAATTTAGAATATCTTCATAACTATATTTTTATAATATTGAAAAATTTTAGCCGTATCCCCGCACCCGTATCCATACTTGGATTCACACCCACGAATCTTAAAATTTGGATTTTGCCGAATCCGACTCTTGAATTCGCATCCGTCTCGGATACCCGCACCCGAGTCCGAGCAACTTAGATTAAAAGTTCATCAAATCTACTTTAAGTCATTTTTAAATTTTGGGAGAGATTTTCAGCTCTGTTGATCAGCAAGAAGTTGCTATATGGAATAGCTGTTTGAGAAATCTTGCTGAAGGTAGTTCTTTAATTGATGCAATTTTCTTGTTTACTCAAATGACAATAACCAACCATGATAAAAGCATACAATTGCTTGTTTCAAATCCAGAAACATTTGACTTTCTGATAAAAGAAAGTTAATTTTCTAGTATTACATAGAAAGCATTACCAGTCACCAATACAGCAGCAAGAGATAGCTATCTAACACTACACACAGAAACCCCACGTAAAGGGAGAACATGATATCCCTTTTATTTCCTTGACAAGACAGAACAACAATAAAGTTTTGAGCTTTCCTCCCATCAAACACCAAATTGCCAAGAACCCATTTTTTTCCCCCAATTATCACAAAGTCAATAGCAAGCAGAAGTAAAAAATTGAAACCCAACATAAGCATTTTAGCCATTAAGAAGTTTTGAGCTTTCCTCCCAGGCTTGTGTGGGGTTACGTGATCTTTTACGTGGGAGAATTGTTCATGTGTATGTACAGAAACTTGGGTTTCAATCGAATTGAGTTTTGTTAAATGCACTTCTTCGTTTGTATGCTACTTGTGGAGCAATGGATGATGTCATCTTTCTGTTCGATAATTGTATAAAAACAACATCACCATTTACTCAAACATTAGCGATAATTTAAATTCTAAAGGTTAGAAGACTTATCCTAGATCTACTGATAGACTAGTAGGTCAATTCGAGTATAAGTAATTGAAAATCCTTAAACTCCAAGCTAAACCCACAAGAGCTCAGAAAATTGATTCTGATGGAAAACTCATATATGAATGGAGGAAGTTCAAAAGAATTCTGATAAAGAAACCCCAGCTAAAATAAAGAAACCCATAAAGTTAATTCCGACGGGAAAATACCAAATTAATTTCTGCATGTGAGAAAACACAACAAAAATCTGAATCTGAACAGTTTTCCGACAATCCAAAATAGAACAGGGAAAGCATAATCACCCAACCAAAATTGAAAACGCAACTATTAAAATTATTGGAACTTTCAAAACACAAGGATAATCCAACATCAATAACAAACCCAAATGAAAAAATAAGCAAACATTCATACACCCAGATCAAATTTGGTACTTCGACTTTGACGAAAACAAAGATGGCACCAAAAAAAAAACTCAATTCAAACATGAAAGAACCTTACATGGAGAATGCTGAAGAGAAGAACTGAACTTTGATGTGCACAGACGCTGGGTGGAGCATAAATGAAGAAGACACGTAGTCATAATAGAGAATTGGAAAGACAAAAATACCCTGAGAGCAATGAAGCATGCATGTTGGAATAAACCTTTTCTAATATATATATATATATATAAATATATAAATTATACCTTGTTTATTTATTTTGTCCTGGCTTATAGTTATTAAATTAAATTTTATTATGTTGTTTCCTTGTGATTTAATATTCATCATTATAGCTTTCTCACATATACTCTATCAAATAGAATTTTTATCACATTTAATTTCAAAATTTTCTTTTATCCAAGTTTAAAAAAATGATTAAATTCATCCTAAGAATTAAAAATAATTTCATAATGCATGAAAAAATTTTGAATATAAATTTTAAAGAAAGGGGTGAAATCAAAAATTCATTCTATGATTTATTTTTTACTATGTATGCATGCAATGCGCATACGATAATAAAAATATTCATCATGATAAATTATAATCTCCCGTGTTGATTTTTTTTTTATAATATATATATTAATAAAATATAAAATATCATATATTTCAATAAAATACACCCTAATTAATGATAACTTTATAAAATTTAAGGAAACAAATTATTTTTTAATTATTAACGTTTATGTTACTTTTCTTTATCAAATATCATTAAATAAAAATAATCATAAACAAATATATATTTACTACATAAACACGAAAATTGATTTTAACCAAAATATATTTAATATAAAACAGATATATATTTATTTTGCTTACTTGTGATTTTTTTAATTTTTTTTATTATATTGTTCACTTCTTTAGTTTAAAATTTATGGACAGTGATATGTGTATCATCTAATTACTTTATTAAATTAGTTCAAAGTATTACCCCTCCCCCCCCCCCCCCTCCCCCCTATAATTTTTTTATATTATATTTTAATTACTTTTTGTAAGTGTAATTCTGAATAATTTTTTTTTTGTTACATGTAATAAGTAGTTAAGTTTTCTTCTCTTTTATTTCAATATATAGAATGTTGGTTTTAGATATAAGCTAATAATTTGATCAGTTTTAAAATTAATATAATTCTTTATCTTTTGAAATTTTAGTTAATGGTATATACAATTTAAATTTTTTGTTCTTTTTAATTAAAGAAATGCTCTCTCATTTAAAAGAAGTTGTTCTCTTCAATTTATTTATTTTTACAATATAAATTATACCTTGTTTTGTATGTTGTCCTGGCTTATAGTTATTAATTAAATTTTATTATGTTGTTTACTTGTGATTTAATATTCATCATTATAGCTTTCTCACATATACTCTATCGGATAGAATTTTTATCATATTTAATTTCAAATTTTTCTTTTATTCAAGTTTAAAAAAATTATTAAATTCATCCTAAGAATTAAAAATAATTTCATAATGCATGCAAAATTATTGAATATAAATTTAAAGAAAAAGGTGAAATCAAAAATTCATTCTATGATTATTTTTTTTACTATGTATGCAAAGCGCATACGATAATAAAAATATTCATCATGATAAATTATAATCTCCCTTGTTGAATTTATTTTGAATATATATTGAATATATATATATATATATATATATAGTTATATTTATTTATTACCTTAAAAGCATGAACTCCTAACTTGAATGTTAAATTACTATAATTTTCCTAACTTAGGTTGTGACTATTTCGATAAGTTGTGACTTTTTTCGAAGGGTTGTGATTTTTCGATGAGTT